GCTAATGATACCTATCATAACGCCTGCCATTTGAAATAAACATTTACATTCTTGGTCTGAACTGCCTTAATAATCATGTTCCTCGTTGAGAAACCTAAAATACAGCAATGATTTGCCCTTCCGATGATTTTAGTTTATTCTTTCCTAAATGGCTCCTTGACTGAGCTAATGAATCATGAATATTCAAACTATCAAGTGCCTTTTCATTATTTTCTAAAAGAGCGAAATATTCAGGACCAGAATATCTCTCGCCTTTTGGATTGGACTAAACCACCTCAGACATTTATTTGATTCCAAGTGCATATGGTTTAAAAGGCGTTGATCAAGCAAAATATATTTATCATCTCCGAGCAAGGGCACAGAAAAAATGCTCTTTCGTAACAGAAGTTGCGCGCGTTGCATTTTAAAACACAAAATCCTTTTCTTTTGCAGCTGTTATAATTTAATATCTGCCAAGTCTCTTCACTTTCTTCACTTGAACAATAATAAATTTAGACCATTTGAATATACACCAACACGCATAAAAATGATAATGACTGCGGATTAGAAGAACACCTTCGATTGATTTTCCAGATTGAATTAAATGGTTTTCACCATAATGGGTTACATTTTTAATTGTTCCCCTAGACAAGGTCAAAGGTTTCGCAGCTTCAATCACAGCGCAGTACTTAAATTTAAAAGGGTAGTTAGAGAGAACTCAAGTCAACGCCTCTTTTAATTTTAAATTTGGATAAGGGCTGTTTCTTTCTCCTGTTAGAGAGAAATTAGATTGAGGGCATTCAAACTTAATTCAGTTTTCTCTACTAAAGTGTGCTCCAGTATGGTAAAGGGCCATATTTTCTTACAGATTAGGTCATAACCCTAAAAGACCCTTAGTCGAGCTGTTGGTACTCTATCGACATCCAGTGTTCCATAAAACCATAATACGCATGGTCAATTTTAGATGCAGAAGAGCTTTCATTTGGATATTTGAAGACCAATTTAGTAAAAGAAAATAGTCATTTACTATTCCGATTATAATAGTATTTATGCTAAAATGAGAATAGATACCAAAAGTCGCAATCACAGAAGTGTAGGACACGTTATCGCTGTGTGCGTCATCGTATGCCTGCATGTCTGCTCGCCAGGATTGGGAGGTGCGGCCGTACAATTCTGTGTGCAGCGACCGTACAAACAGTGACCAATCATCAACCTCTGTTAAACCTAATCCCCCATCCTGATCATGAGTAGCTCCGTGCGTGTACACTTTATCCGCAATATACTCATTGAGTAAACGTGCTGCGTGCTACACGTCTGTTTCCTTTATTGCTGGGCTATAGCTTAGCTAGTTTCGGGAGTCTAGCTAGATGTAGGAGAATCTGCCACAGAGATTTTCGGTCAGGCTTTACTAGCGTAGCAATCCGCTACAATGCAATCCGGTCAGGCTTTACTAAGGTAGCAATCCGTTACAATTCTCAACCGGTCTGGCTTTACTAAGGTAGCAATCCGCTACAAGTCTTTAACCAAGGCTTTACGAAGGTAGCAATCCGCTACATGTTCGAGACTTAGGGAGCAATCCGCTACAAGTCTACAAAACAATATACATAACTAGCGTAGCAATCCGCTACAAAAGGTAATACAAGTAAAAGTCGAAGATTCTGGTCAATAGATGAATACTTTTCGGGAGTTAGTTTGTGATTAGTACCTAACAATCCATTATAAGTTCAAGACTTTGAAAAGTGTATGTGGAAAGTAATTTCGCTTTAAGCTTAATATAAGTGCATTTGCATTCACGGAGGAAGATTTTTTTTCACAAGCCACTTCTTATTCGTTTAATAGCTGTGGAGTGCTATGATCTGCAGTTAATACAAATTAAAACCCATGATCATTTTCACTTTCTTTCTTGAACTGGAAGTTTTTCAATTAATTTCCATTCCTAATATGTTTAGTTAGATATCGGAATTTCAATATACCTTCAACTCGATTAGTAATTTTATACTTTCAGACGTCCGTTCTGTTTGAATACCTTGAAAAACCTTCAATCTCAGAGAGGATTAAGTGTAATAAGAATTACCACAGTGAAACTTAGTTCTCTGGACTTGAACACCTTCTCTGAAATTGAAAAGAGCTTTTTAACCTTTTTGCAGTTTTAGTACAGAATGAATAAATCTGTTTTTCGAACGTAAGAACTCTGAAGCCTTGAATCGCTAACTTGCCTCTACTCGAAATAAAGAGTACCGTTAAAACGATCCTTTAATTCAATAAAATTGTGTTATTACCTCATTGTCCTGCCAGTATTGCCTTGAAACTGCAGATGAAGTTCTTTGTCGTTGACGAATTCGAACTTCCTCATTACAGCGGTTCGGTACTGGGTCCTCTCTACTCCATTGTCGATTATCAGCATTAGCACTCAGTGAAGACAGGAGTGGAGGTACGGCATGGAAGACATTATTTGAGAACGAGGTACAGGAAGACTGTTGGAGGTCTCTTCCACTGGGAAAGAGAGAAGAACTCGAGGAAGTTGTTGTTGTGTGAGGATTCGAGCCTCCACCCTGAAAAGAGGAACTTGTCTGTGGAGAGGCATTTTGATCCTCTCTTCTGGTATAGCACTGAAATACATAAGCAAGTTATCAAAAGGTGACGACTTCCTGTCTGACATTTAAGTATAGTTAGATTCTAAGCTGATAAATGGCTTTTCTAATGGTTAATCAGTAGGCTAATTTGATTATTTGTTGAGAATTAACTGAATTAGGACTGAATAGCCCTAGTGCCTTCGCTTTAATATGGGCAAAATAACAAACGACCATTAGTTTATGGTTATTCAGAAGAATACAACTTCTTGAGGGATCACATAATAATATTAGAAGTCATCTTCCATTGACAATGACATTAACTGAAGAAGAATAAAAATCATGGTGTGAGCATGTACTTCTGAAGTAGTTCCCTACCATCATTGAACTGGAAATTGGTTCTTGAGCCACATTTCGTGGGTCTATTTGAAAATGTCACTGAATATCTTGACAGGAAGAAACTTTCCGATCACTCTCTATATAAGTTTTAAAACATTTTTTTATAAATAGCGGTGGAAATAATATTGAATATGCTATGGTTTTATAAATTTTTATAAGAATGTGCAATACATTTTGCTATAATAAAACAAACATTTATTGCAATAGATTCAACTAAAACGACACGTCTTTTATGCTCAATTAAAATCTTCCCCTCTCTAGAACCCCTAATAGGCCTGTTGCAAGCGAACTTTTATTAGCTAAACGCTGCCAATTGGGCCTGAATAGACAATGTAATTTTCAAAAAGTACAGAAGAACCTACTGCAACACTAACAGTAATAATTTACTTAATTGGGAAAATAACTTCAGATAAGCATTATACTAGTAATGATACTTTGTATCGTCTCCCAACCCTGTGCCATGGTGAAGTGAAGGAGAAATGCGTGTCTTTAGAAAGATATTTGACATGGAAATCTTAAGACAGAAGAACTATATTATGCAATAAGCAAGGTATGCGCATTGAAATAAAGGAAAAAAGAATGCACAAACGAGGAGATTGTAAAATACGGTTCATCTGGTCATAGTGTTTAGTGTTTAAAAATGTTCTTTCAGGGGTCCGAGTTAGGTACTTCAATAGGAGGCTGATTCGAAAATAGATATTGAATAATTCGAATCTTGTAGAGACAGCTTATTACATTAACGGTTTTAAGCTTTGTGGCTAGTTAATTTGTGCATGAATTTAAACGCCAACATTCTAGTAGTAACATGGGCATATCTCGAGTTGGGGATAACCTACTGTTTCATCCATACTGGAGCCATTTTGTTGATGATAGGATGGAGATGAGTTGAGTTGAGAGGGGGTTTTTTGTTCTTGCAAAACCGGAGTATTTTGAAGATGCCCAACAGGTGAAGACGACATCATAATGTGTGAAAAATGGCTGAAATCGCCATTGCTAGAAATCACACTTCGAGGTGAAGATAAAGGCATACTTTGAGGTACCTCCTCCCGTGGAACCGCAACATCATTCTTGTCTAAAATAACACGTTTTTATCAGTTTAAAACTTGTATGACATGCATGAAATTTTCCTAAAACGCCAACGATTTATCTATCCTATTTCCGAAAGGACGACCTTTAGCTTATGAATGCCATCGCTGTCGAACCTTATAAACCTAGAAATAAAAGGTGCAGGAAAATGGTTACTCGCTTCTGCCTAAAATCAAGCTTTAATAAATAATAATTCACGAACTCAGAACAAGGTCTTTGCAAACTACTTTCAATAGATGAAATGGAATGTGGTTTTAAACCTCGAAATGATTTACCTATTCGTAAGTAAGGTTTATGAAAAAAGATCAGGTCACTTAGAAGAAATTGTATTACCTTAGTGCCATTAACCAAATGCTACCTTAAAAGAATTGGGAGATGATCAATTAGAAGCACATAAAAAGGGCTTTAAGAGAAGGAAATAAATTAAGTTAAAACGATAAAGTTGGATGCTAATTCATAACGGCTTAACCTATTGCCTTAAAAACGTACTAAGATATTCATTCATGGCTTAGTCTAAATAGAAATCAGTGTATGAAATATGCTTGACAGAATCTTGATCAGTCTTTCCCCTATTGGCTAGAAAATATTATTAGTAATAATTAAGTCATACCGTTTGACGTGATTGTATTACCGGATTGGAAGATTTCACGGTGATTATCAATCTGAAATGCAAAAGAAGCAACTTCAATTTTTCCCCATAAAATATTTATTTAAAATTCCTACTTTAATGAAAAACGCGCCATGTTACGACATGGAATTGTAAAAAAAAGGGGACATTTGAAGTACAAACAAAAAAGCCCTTAAAATGTTAATCTGCTAATGGCCTCTGAGGTACTGAACGTTATATAAACATGATATAGGAGACTTACACTTGAACTGAAATGGCTAATTGAACTGAGACAATGCCACTCGACAATTCCCTGTAAATAGGGTTAAAATCGAATGTGAGGATGGGAGAAAATCGATCGAGCTATGATGATATCAATTGCTAAAACAGATATCCCAAACTCCGCTTTTATTAACCTTGTCGGTTAACGAGTGAATCAAATGATTGTTGTTGGCTGCACACCTGTAAGTAATTAGATTATAAGTGTCGCGCAAATCAACTGATATTGCCTAAGGATCCCTTCATCTGCATGACAATAACACGAGGTATTTGCCATCTTGCCAGCGTTCATAAATACCTACATATGGTTCGATGCCAGTCCAAATACACAATCAAAACACAGATGCGATAAATTTATTGAAGCCTCGAAGACCATAATTTAACAGCAATTTAACGTTAATAAGTCCGGGGTGCTCAATAGACTTACCTTCACGTGGTGCACCTGGGCAACGTATACTTATGCGGCAAAAAAGTCTATTGATCGGCAGTTGACTTCTAACTTCAAACTACTATGACCCGACTATTTGCCATATTCGACCCCTTCCACAGTACTCATCTTGTCACTTTTATGATTTTGTGTCTGTCTGTCTCTTTTATATCTCTGAATCACTCTTCAGTTCCCCTCTCGACTTTTTGTCACTTTGATGTTCCTTCTCCTCTCTGTGAAGTCCCGAAGTCAGCTCCAGGGCTAATGATATCTATCAAAACGCCTGCCATTTGATATAAATAAATACCTTAATAAGTCCATAAGGAAAAGATGTATGTATACACATTGATATAGACTAGACTTGGAGTATTAGTGTCAGGTAAACGTCAGAGGACAAATGGGGGTTTTAATTAGCCAGTAAGGTTATAATGATATGAGTAGGGAGGCTTATTGCAATTTCGAATTAACTTTAAAGTGGTTTCTAGCTAAGATGGAGTGTTGATATTTAAATTTTTATCAGCTATAGAAATAAATTCGACTTCTGATATGATTTCTATTGAGCGTAAATCATTGGTTGCCAAGTTACAAGGTTCTGGATGTGTAGCTCTTCACCCTTGCGATTATAATTTTTCATTGTCAGCATTTAGTTGCCCGTTGTTGTGCTTAGTCAAACGCCATTTGGTACATTTTATTTCTGGCAATTCGATGAATTCTGAAATAGCAAACTTCAGACCGTGCTAAGATGTCTATGAGAGCCTTTCAAAGACGAGATAAACAAGCTCAAAGACCACTGAGCAGACTGGTATATGAAAATTACTGGCTGCCCATTTCGTGAGCCCTAAACTGTGCTTTGAGTGAAACGAAACCAATTGAAATAGGGGCAATGAAGCTGTCTGTCATTGCAGCAATTAGCAGAAGTTAAGAGTAATGGCTAACTGGTAAGGGTAGTGAGTGAAGATCAAGGGCGTGAGAGAGAAAATGGAGAACGAATATGACGAGAAACGAGGGAGAATATGAGAGATGGGCGACTACATTACTAGTCTTATCGTTGAACTTTACACACACAATATCTGAGTCACCGAAAAGAGGAGAATACAAGCCGAATATCAATATTCTTCAATTGCCACAATTTATGGTACTAAGTACGTTCTAGAAACCGGGGTGTGCGATAGACTTACCTCCACGTGGTGCAGCCTTGGAAATGTATACTCATACGGAAAAAGAGTCCATTAACTGGCAGTTGACTTCTCACTTCAAACTACCGTCCATTAACTGGCAGTTGACTTCTCACTTCAAACTACCATTACCACACTGTTTGCCATATTCCACCACTTCCACAGTGCTCGTCCTACCTTTTCTTTGCCTTTGTTTTTGTCTGTCTCTTTTATATCTGTGAAACACTCTTCTGTTCCACTCCCCTCTCGAATTTTCTCATTTTGATGTTCCCCCTACCCTCTGTGAAGCCTGAAGTCAACTAAAGGGCTAATGATAACTTTCAAAACGCCTGCCATTTGAAATAAATACCCATTTTGGTTAGATGTGCGAAAAACGAATCACCTCCTCTCCCAAAATTCCATTTCAATAAGATATAGCCTGAGGGTCTTTTGAACCTCATGGATCATTGTGAGCAACTTACTGTTGTGGGAAGCACTAATCACATGAATCGTAAATCAAAATTCCAAGAGACTGTATTTTTTAAAAGAAAATAAGAAGTGTACATTTAGAGCAATGCTTTATTTGAGGTTCCAACCGGGGAATACATCCAAAAATCTGTATTTTTGTGTTTCATATAACACATATTTTAGGTTGTATTCCACCAATAGTTAACTACAGCACTTGAACTCAAACAACGGGTTTTCAAACTCTGTAGGAATGAATAAGTGGAATATTTTTAAGCAACTATTTGGATAAGGAAAATAACTTCTGCCGGACGTTAATTTGGAAAAAGAAGCCCAGCTAAATATATTATTACCGTTTAGTTCAAAAATTGATCAATTCTTGGCTATCATTAATAGATCGAATGATTAAGAATTTGGAATTCGTCGTGACTGAACTCCAGTTAGCCCTGTGTCGCTCAAATTGCGTCACTTCTTCACACCCTTCCTCTGTTCTTGCCAATAAAAGACAATGCATTTGAAGTGGTGTGTCAACCATCCAAATGAATAAGTTGGCTGAAAACAGTCAATAGAATCTGAAGTTTGAACAATAGAATGAAAATGAGACAGCGAGTTACCAGTGGTCTTTTGCCATCAAATTTGCACCCATTGGGAATTACTAAAGCCATTTGTGGACCAATAGCTCTCTCCGATTGTGGAAGAGCGAAAAATAAATCCTTAAGTAATGGAAGTTTGAAATATGAATACAAAAAGAAATATTTGAAAGAAACGTATATAATATGCAAGGATTTATAGATATGGGGTAGAAATATGAGGAATTTAGGTCAGGATTCTTTGCAATCAATACGGCCTCTTTTGCACATATTAAACGTGAAGACGGAAAATATACAAATTCCAGTTTTCATTCGTATTTACAGTAGTCAATAGCTAGCAGAAACTTACACTATTAGAATTGCTCTGATTGCCGTTGAATTTTAGAGGGGAAACGGCAGTTGGGGGAGAGCAGATTGGAGAAATAGCTCGAGTGTGGGGAACATTGGAGGAGAATATCGAAGATGGATAAGTGTAGGCATCTTCAGGACTCTGTTCCCGACGCGCACCAGTCCCTCCATTCCCCAAATGTCCAGTTTTATGGGAAGTCTCTGAATTTGTCTCCTCCTGTTGTTTGAGCTGAGCTATCAAGCTCTCTTTCTCTTCTTCATACTTGGTTTTGTCCTAGAGGTAATTAACCAGTCCATTTATTACCCGAAATATACGATTGTTAAAGTGAAAACAATCCATCGTTGTGGTAATTATGCCATAGAATGATGACTCTACTCACTTTAAAAATATTATTTAATCATACTCTCCATGTTATGCTTTGTTCTTTGCTCGCAACACTACGGTAACCATAGCTCAAAGCCATATCTCTCTTGTTTAAACGGGATTACCGATTCTCTTTTTCTATAATTAACCCGTTTTATTTAAAAGTACGCCTTCATTGATACTCTTACGTTCGTCTTTGCCAAGTGACTTACATAAATTGTCTTTGTATTCGCGTACAAACATGCACACATATCCGGTTGTCGTTTGTTTGCTCGCTTGCTTTACGTACTACACAATTCGTTGTTTCTACTTTTTGGAATGCTTTTTGTGAATGTTATTTGCAAGCATCAGCTTCTGCAATCTGTTTCTGATTCATTAGTTCTTACAATTCAGTAATTCCTTAAAGAATAACCTTTGATTCCCGCAGCTCCACAAATTATTGATCCTGCAAGAACCCCAACAACATAGTGACATTTCCTAGAAGGTCGTTAATGACTAATCATATGAAATTCATCCTGAATGAATTGTAAACATCTTTCAGGCCCCCTTTTGAGGCTAAAAAGACGCAATTTTTCGAAAATAAAATAAAGCGCATTTTGAACTTTAATCTGTTTACACAAAACTTACGGGTGTAAAGAAAATTGATGAATAAAAAGTTGTTCAAGTTAGAAACTAGTGGAGTTGTTTAAATAGAGTTTAAAAGGAACAAGGCACAAGACTGGGCAATAAACATAAGATTACTTTTAACATTTCCCGTTATGTGACAGTGACTGCAAGCAGTTATTCCCTGTGACCATTTATGTGGATATAAAAGGCATTCTGTCCCTTATATAATTTATTTCGAACATCTGGGAGTCACATAGGATTCCCATCTAAGATAAGTATTGACAGATGTCCGAAATGATAATCGCTCTTACGATGAAAATGTTAAAAAAATTCATCTGCCAATCAAGCTAAATCGTATATTAGAACTTATCATGAATAAAATTTAGCAAGTCTGGGCGTGTTTAAAATGTGCTTAAAAGTCTTATCAGAGTGGTGTGACCAATCATTCCATCAAATCTGGTGGTCAGATAGCTTAGAATATCATGAACATGAAGTAAGGTAGAAATCCAGGAATTAAGTAATGACAACTGAGTCTGAAAATCTTTGAATGATTCAAGGTGATTTCTAGGATTTATAAGAGAGTGAGTATCTCAATGCTTCCAAAATTAGAATTAAGCAAGACTCATGACAGTCTGATCCCCATTTATAATAGGACTATTTTGCTATTCTGTATATTCAGATCGAAGTCTTTGTCTCAAGCATTGCCATAGTTACTAATCTAGCACCCCTGTTACGCACTTTTCGATAGGCCCATATTCCAATTCAATGGTCATGATGTCAATGATTAACAGTGCGCACCGTGTGGTATGATGGAATAAACCTCACTGATTCGCTCTGGCCAATTGGATGGGTGGTAGAGTGGGAGTTTCCCATCTCATAAGGGAATATCAATTCCGAGTAGTTTAAACACAAAAGTAATTACAAATACTGAGTGAATACTGTGTTTAATTACTTCTAATACTGCATACCGAAAAACGATAAGAATTATGACGTAAGTTACAAAATTGCGTCGACCAGGCTTATTCCGTCAGTGTTATCACAGTTACTAGAACGACAAAATTGTCTACTAAATATTTGCGAAAAAAACATCTTCCCTCTCCACTCTTATCAGATCTGCTGCAATTTCGTTGAAGCCTATAAACGAAATGCCTTATCCAGTTGAAAATTATAGAAGAAGATGGGGTGGGAGATAGACTTACCTCCACGTGGTGTACCTTGGGCAACGTATACTCATACGGCAAAAAAGTCTATTAACCGGCAGTTGACTTCTGACTTATAACTACCATGGCCCCCACTGTATGTCATAGTTGGCCCCTTCTACAGTACTCACCTTATCCTACTCTCTATCATTGTGTCTGTCTCTTTTACATCTGCAAATCACTCTTCGGTCTACCCTCTTGAATTTTTCCAACTTTGATGTTTCTCCACTCTGTGAAGTTCGAAGTCAGCTAAGGGCTAATGAGAACTGTCAAAATGCCTGACATTTGGAATAACTAGACGAAGATTAATCCAAGTACTACATTTAAAGCTAAAATGAAGTAAATTAGAAGTAGATGAAAAAACTGAAGTCGTGAGTTTTCGCTAGATTGCGTTCAGAAAACTTGTGCGAGACAGATAAACCTGTTAAACGAGGGATTTTTTATTGTATAAAGGATATAATTAAGTTAATTTAGTGTTTAAGTGACTTGATGGGTTTTTCATTACCTAATTATCAATCCTCCCTATGGGAACTGGGATATTCAGCGTACCTCAAAACTTTTCAATTCCTCAATTTTCTATTACGAATTTCGAAAAAATCCTGGGAGGGAGGGCCGGTTAAATCCGCAAGTAAAACGCGGCATAAAAGCGGTATGAATGTTTTCCAATCAGCCTTTACTCTGCACGGTTCAAATTTCCTTTCATTAAATTTCGGTTAGATATTCACACAATTCTTGACTTAATCTTTAAAGCCAATAATTTATTTTCGAAAGTTAAGTTTCAGTTTTATTGAAGCAAATTAAATTTTGCCCTTAATCTACTGTTTTACCTAGGGCCAACGGTATAATTCACTTGAACTTTCTAATTGAATTTGTTAAATGCTAAAATGAAATCCCAATACGTGCAAATAGGTGAGGAAAAATTTGCCGTCTTTGAAATAGTTTCTGGATGACTTACTAATCTGCACCTACACACTAATTGGCTGCAAAAGATACCTAAGCACAATGAACTTCAACCAACACAAAGGCAGTATGCTATAAGCAGATCAGGCCACATGTTTATATAAGTATGATTTAGCAATGACATAAATAAATGACAGGACACAGATAGCAAAGTAAATAAGTGGTCAAATGAATACCAATTTGAAAATCGAATGAATTATTAAAAAAGAGACTTAATGGAATGAATATGGTGATTTGATGTTCCTTCTCCTCTGTGAAGCCCGAAGTCAGCTAAAGGGCTAATGACAACTATCAAAACGCCTGCCATTTGAAATATAATAAATAATCAGTATATTTGATTTATTTCAACTTTGAACCCGATGAAAACTAAAATAATTAGATTGATTTAAGCTGGATATCAAGGTATATTTTACTTGAGATAATCCGTCAATGAGTAAAAAATTGACTTTATAAAGAGAAATAAAAATTTTAAAGTCTCTTGGATCATCATTTTGCACGAAGTTACAAAACAGGTTTTCATCTTTACAATGCTCCAGCCACAACCAGGAATTGGATAAATTTGGAAATTCGTGTTTCAATGACTGAAATCTTTAAGTTCCATTTTAGTTTCCTTAAAAAGGCTTCAAAGAAGGTTAAAAGAAAGAGTTCATGTGATTAAATAAAACTTGACTTATGACAGTTCGCTCAAGACAAATTTCTAGTGAGATGATGGCATATCTGGAATGCAGCATACAAATTCTGCATGAAGAAAAGCCATAAACAGCGCGCGTATGGGATAGAAAGTGATATACGCAGACAGACAGACTGGAAATAACAGATTAAATGGCAAAATCTGAATCGCCTGAGAAAAGATAAATGAATGCGAAATCATAGGGAGGAAAATCTAATGTCACATTCCAGACTGGCTGTCTATAATGACTAGTTGAATATATTTTTTAATTTAATATTTGTTTTTAAATTTTACATTTCGCGAGAAGCTTGGTAGGTAACTGCTATGTAAACTTAATCATTAGAGTTAAAATAGACCCATTCTAGTTTAATACTTACTAATAACCTGAATCTTCTATTGAGTTATGATATGCATAGCTGCTCACGTTTGCCCAATTAACCCACTTAGTGGAATTACGAAAGACAGTAAATAGAAATTCGCGTTTTTTCGTTTTAGGAATCGCATTCCCTATTGTAGTAATTGACATTTAACCGCAATTATCCGGACTTTCTCATAAACAACAATTTTAATAGGCCACCGATGTATAAACCCGTTAGAAAGCCGAATCGAATTCGGGCGAAGTCCAATGACTTCTGTCCAGGGGTAATTAATTAATAATTCTTAAGTTTCCATCTTATTATACGGATATCTCATCCGTATCGAATTTTTTGTACTGAATAAAATTGGCTCTCGTGCGAATCATAAGTTTCCTCAATTCTTCTTTCCGGGGTTTGAGTAGCTTTGTCATTGGGTATAAAATAATAATAATAATAACATGACATCATAGATTAAAATAATCCAAACTATATAATAAGTTAATTATTCTAAGGATTTCATTGAGCAAGTGCATTTAAAAAACAATGCGAACTTTTCAATTCCAGTACATTGAAGATTAGTGCATTTTGATACTCCTTTCTGGATTTGAAGTAGTTCTGAAGATTGTATTTATCGAAGAAAATTCTTTCACCTCACTGAGTTGCCTTGATTTTTTGAATAATTCATGTGAAAGTATGCACACCCGCATGAATGCCAGTTACCTCTTTTTAGGCCTTTATAGGACTTGGGAATTTTTAATTTAGCAGGACTGACGAGTGTTCGAACGATAACAGGGTTTTTTTAAAGAAATCGCTAATGAGGTTTAAAATTTTTATTTGAATTTAATGTACTTCTCAACCACCTAATGCCACACAAAGTCCCTCTAAACGTGAATTCGTATCATCCGAGATTAGAAGGGTTCGTTTGTGATTCCCGATCAAGGTGAATATTACATGTCAACTATGCGAAAGTGCCCAATCAACACATTTGTTGAGGATATGTTACCTTCCGAAATTTACTCTCAATTCTATAAAATGATTGTTTCGGTTCATTGCGAAACAAATGACTTCCATTATAATAAAACACATGCAAATAAATTATATGTTCCTTTATGAACAAAATAAAATAAATATCCTGCATATATAATGTAAAAGGGAGAATTTTTTATTTCGAATAGTGCAAGGGGCTTAGAATCAAAAAACAGAGGTCACGAATTTCCAATCGATCTTCTCTACAGTTTAAGACACCTTGAAAAAATTCATTTTATTCATCACAACGAGCACACCGGTCTCTTTGCAACTGAAAATCCAGAAATGAGTAACATCAAATGCTTAGTCATAATGTTCCTCAAACGATAATTTATCAACGTTCTATCAATTCATAAGCATTTCATTCAAACTTTTCTACCAACTACTCAAATTAAATAACCTTATCTTTCAATGTGAGCAAATTCTTTTAAAATGACGTTTTATTGAATAAATGGAGTTAATAATTAAGAAAATAGCATGGAAGATACATTATTGAAACTATGACAAATTGAGCATTTTGAGAAAAATTAATAAAATGAGAATCACTAGTATTTGCTGAAAATGAAATAAAGCTACAAAAATAGGAAAAGAATCATCCTGTATAGTTCATACTCACCTCCAAGTACTGATATTCCAAATCATCAATTAGAGTTTCTTGCTGTTCAAGACGTTCCTTTAGGTGCCTAAATTGATTCATCAGATCAGCAGGTGCTGAATCATTTTCACTTTCGCAGATTTTCACCTCCGATTTGACTCGATTATACTCCAATTGTAATAATTCCAAGAGAGCTCTTTCATGAGCTATTTGATTGCTGAACTGTATAAAAGAAAGGAAGCATGAGCTTTTTAAAGATACTGGAACATTTTTCTAGAAACCAATTATCTATTACAAATACTTGCTATAATCAATTAGGGACAAGTGAGAAAGCTACAATAGAAATCTTAGGGAGATTTGTTTATCAGGGCTGGAGAATTTAGCCGTGTAGTAAGTTAATTTCAAGTAGCCCTTAGAACGCCACTTGTCAGAAACCTGAGTGAATAGAAAGTTTCGTGAGGATAAGTGTATTGGACCAATTCTGTTGAAAACTAACAGCTGAACAGAGTGTGGACCTGGAATTTGCACCAAATACCGTTTTAAAAACTAGTATTCATGAATTAAAATCACCCAAGTCTTTTATTACCCATAAAGTACACGCATTGCGTAATTTCGTTCAAGTAGTATAAAAAGACAATTTATTAAAATATTTAATTGGATATTTTCTGAATGCATAATAAGGTAAAAATAAAATTCAAGTTTACAACGAACTAAAAGTGTTTTAATGGACTTCTGTAAAGAAAATCTGTCCCCTCAATAAACCAAGGTTTTTAAAAATCATTGTTGTGAGAAGCAGCTAAAATGGCGACGAGAGATAATCAAAAGATATAGAAAGCGCTGCAAAGGTAGCGAAGTGCGACAGCTACTTTATGAATTCCAATGGTACGATATTTGCCAGGTGGGATGTGCGATAGACTTACCTCCACGTGGTGCACCCCGGGCAACGTATTCTCATACGGAAAAAAAGTCTATAAACCGGCAGTTGACTTCTGACTTCAAACAACCATGACCCGACTGTATGTCATATTTGACCCCTTCCACAGCACTCATTTACCTTTTCTCTGCCTTTGTGTCTGTCTGTCTGTCTCTTTTACATCTTTTAATCGCTCTTCTGTTCCCCCTTTCCACTTTTCCCACTTTGACGTCCCTCCTTTCCACCTTGAAGCCCGAGGTCAGCTAAAGGGCTAATGATAAGTATCCTAAAGCCCACCATTTGAAATAAAAAAAATATTTGTCAGATGAGTGGTTCGTTTTCGCAAATTTAAATTTCGTGTTTCATTTCTGGACTGTAGTGATGCTTGTCTTCGATGGTCAATACTCGTTGACCACTTTTGAATCACGAACGATAAATAATGCCACTGCAAATCAGTTTCACTTCCAATTGTTGAGAAGGTAGATGATCTTGTATGATATTTCGCGGTTTATAGTTTCACCTCAGCCGAAATGAGATATTGGCTGATCATAGTCGCTGATGGAAATGATTATGTAGATTTACAAATGCATGCACTATTTGCGGTGATTCATACTCTACGTGCGTCTGCCGTCTTGTTAATGCAAGCATTTTTGATGTTTAAATACCGACAGCAATCAATAAGCGCACAGCTCCTGAAGCATGGCAATTTACTTTTAGTTTGTTAATTACTTCTATTTAAACAAACCAGTAATTTTTAGGACAGAATTTATAAGTAGTCTCGACTTGCATGGCATCATAGAAAATTTCAAAATGAAGACTTCAGAAAGTGCGTCATCGAAAGAAACTGATCGATGGATCACCAAAATCACGAAAACAAGCTCTTTCGGGAATTAAGGCAGTAAACACTGAAATGTGAACCTCAGGACATTAAGATATAATGGTTCAGGATTCAAATTAAGCAAAGCTTTTAATGCCACTACGTCATTTTTTCCCTTCTTTCACCACTAATCCCGGGAATATCAAAAATGTCTATCAAAGTGTCAAATTTTTCCTGACTGAAACATCTTGAAAGAGATTAGAAAATGAACAATCTGTTTTTAACAAAACGGTTGGGGGGAGAATCGGACACATTCTTCATAAACCAAAAATTCCTAATGATTTAGAGGAAAAAAATTATTATTAATATTATTATTAATTATTAAAATTATTCTCATTTCCAGAATGATGTGGTCATATCAATACCCTGTTAATTATTATTACTATTAATAAACGATCATCAAAGTGTGATTTAAAGTTTGCTACGAAAGAATATACATTAGGGGGAAAATATATTCCAGGTAAAATAATATCCTTTAGTTGTGAGTAAAGAATTAATGCATATTCTGATAATTTTATTCCTTTTATCTGATGAAAAACCATGAGATAGGCTCGTATGTAGCCAATCAAACTTAAAGGAAGGAATTTATGCTCATAAATAGGTATAAATAGACGGTTGGAAAAAACACGGAGGCACCTTTATTTCGATTGAAGAAGAGGACCAATGTCTTGAGCAACATTTATCATAAACCAGTCAACTTTGATGTATAGTTTGCAGATTAAGTGAACTGCATTTCCTGAGCTCAACTAGACTACGCTCTATTTCTCCTAGTCAGAATTCCAGTATCAGAGTCGGATAGGCTGCATGAGGGAAACAATGATGGGTGTACATAAATAGACACCAATCTGCTGGTTCATCAGGAACAGGCAATTAGCGAAGGAGTGGGAAACGAGGGCACAGTCCGTGTGAACACTGTTATCATTAAATTTTTATTTACCCAAGGTTGCACAGGGCAAAAAATCTATTGTCATAGATAAAATAAGGAAAAAAGCTGTATATTAAAAATCTGTTCGACCACTAGTTGAATGGTAGAAAATTCTACTAACAAGTAAATTCATTGGCTGTCATTCATCATCCGCTGTAAGACTAGACACGGAATTAGCACCGTTGGAAAGCATTTTGACACGTAGAGCAACGCGTTGTAATATGAATTAGCAAAATATCAGGAGACTTTCAAATTTTCTTCAGTAAATTCATATTTACAACGTTCAGCTTGCCTACTTTTGACGGCTGATAAATCACTTCAGTTACATTCCTCGTTTTATCCAAACATACTTCAAGAAATGTTTGCTTCAAAAGCTGTTTAGAAATTGGAAGTTAAGTCATCTAAGGAAACTTTTATTCATTCATTTTCCTCGACACAAGTCTGAAATGATTTTCCAAAAAAAAAAAGATTTTACGTGCAACTAGGGTAGATCCCCAAAATATGATTACCATCGCTGACAAGACTAATCACTGAGGTCATAGGAATCACTGACTGGCCAGACAAAAAGGTCAAGTGAGGAAGAGGTGGTTGAGGGGCGCATTAATTACTACTCGAAAACCATTGGGTTAAGTCTGGCAACATCTTGAGGTCATTCCAAGGTGAGGTTTCGAGGATATTTCAGTGGCCAGTTACTCGTACAGAATTATACAACTTATTTCCTGGAATAAATACTCGTTTCTTTCAAACGGATGTCTTGTAATAAAAATTAGGAAAATGCCTAACAAAAAAATTGGCCAAATAATTTATGCAAAATATATAGGTATATTAAATGCTAAGCTTGAAGTCAGAGGTCTAAATTATTCTCTTGGGATAAAATGAAGACGAGTAGAAAGCACCCTAAATTTTGTGAAAAATACTTTATCCTCTAGTAGAGGAACAAACATTTTGTCGGAAGTTAAATGATAGAAAAAAATTTTATCATCGAAATTTTGATTTGCAAAATTTAATGAACAAGGAATGATTAAACGTGTTGAAAGTGGGATTCAAATTGTGTAAATAGTCTAGCTAACTTTTAGCCACTTCCGTTTTGAAGTTCATAATATAATTAGAGTATTAAAATAAACGGGTAGATAGTGACCTTCAGAGCGGCTAGAACTACATTTTTGGAGATCGAGTTGGTGATAAATCTTTGCAAAAAGTGACAACAGTAAAATAAAACCCAAAGCCGCTTTTTTGTGTAACTAAGCCAGTTTGAGAAACTACAGAAGAACGCTTTAGCATAAAATCACACGTAAGTTAAGTATTTCCACGTTCCATTTTAAACAAAACGACTATTAATTAAATTATTTGGTTAAAATAGTGAATTTTCTACTAATATAACAATATATGGGCATATTTATTTTGATATTTATATATAAGATGAGTATATTTCATTAATTCACCCACTGTGAAGTATTTATCGTGCAGAAATAAAAGTCGAAACTTAATGTGACTTAAATCAACTTAAAAATTAAAAATAGTTTAATATGGACTTTGGATATGCAAGATACATAAGTCATTAGCGATTTTTAAATGCGCAAAGCTCGATTTCAGTGTAAAATAAAGAATCTAAAAATTAAGTCGATAAGAAGAGTAGATTTTTGGGAAAAATATCGAGAAATGGGAGGACACGTAAAGAATCATGTTGCTTCTATCAACCTGTTAACTTTCTTGCTTATTGGCCGATTATATCAGCTTATAGAAGTGAAAATTCCACAGATGGCATTGACTACATCACACAGGCACTTAAGACGAGTAAATTCAGATATATGGCTTCTTCTCTTACCAGAGGGAGGGAATTTAATGAGCTTGCATAACAAGTTTTAGGTTGTAATTATAGGCAAATATGGAACTTTGTGAAGAGCTATCAGCAGACTTCCACAATGGCACCTCCATGGCCGAGCTTTAAGTGAGCTGAACATTTCAAAATGAAAACATCAAGACTAAAGCAGTACCAGGACGACTGATGTTACTCAGAAATCTCCGATAGAAAGCAAAATATTAAATGATATTTAATAATTGAATAACTTAAAATGAGTACTTCCAAATTTCATCCATTAAAACCTCTCAGAGGACTTGCAATTACATATCGATTTTAACGAAGAATTAAGCGAAATAAACCATAATTCTGTTCGAAGTATGCTTGTTAGAGACGCATTTCTTATTTTCTGTTCCAATGTGTCCTTTTACCAATTTTAAATAAAAATATCACCACTTTTTAAGAATCAAATAAATCCAATAAATTCAGCTTGCCTCAATCCTCACTGTTTCTGACATCCGGTTGATTTGTGCCAGTTGGATCTGAAGAAGACTAGTTAAAGTGTCCGTGGTGCTGGTGGCTTTTTCTTTGCGTTCCTGCGCATTAATTTTGTGAGGGGTTTGTGGATGTGGAGGTGATGGAGGGGGCTCGGGTGACCTTCGGGTCTCCTGAATTGCGTACCTCTTCAAAACGGTCGACTTGTTGCGTAGTCTGCTCATTTCTGTTGCGGCACAGTCCATAAGTGCTGCAACTCCTCCTTTTGAAGTTGAAGATGTTTGATTTTCCTAAAAATAAAATTATTAAATTGATATCCTGATCTGCATCTGTAATGTCAACGATCGGTCAAGTAAAATTTCCCGAAAAAAACAGTTTTTGTTAATTAAACAAACATGAAAAAATGGGCATATTGTGAAAAAACATTCTCTTGACAACACTTTAACTCTTCAATCACACAAACAAATCATACATTGCTACCGAAGTGAAAAAGTAAGTGCTTGAAAAGCAAGAGGAATTGGTCGATGTGCACGAGGGCTGAAATGACCAATGAAATAAGGTTCCTTTATAAGTATTATTATTAGTTACTAACGCAGAATTTGGCAGAAACAAAAATCTTTGCATATTTCAACCTGACAAGCAAAGAGTTTTTTTTCATGGTGAAGGCGATGAAAGGAAAGCTTTGAAAAATGCATTCGCTTTAAGAAAGACCTGCAAACCCAAGAAAGATTTGTGTATAACAATAAAGAAATCAACTTTTTGCTCATGAAAGTCCTGACATGAACAAACTGAGCTTGTAAATGTTAAAAGTTTTCAAAGTAGTTGCTGGGTGTAGTATAGTTGAAGAAACTAATACCAGATAAAAAATGAAGCATACATTTGTTAAGCTACAACTTCTTCCACGAGATAAAAACTGTTCAAGTTACTGGTATTCGATTAATTGGCAATATCTCAACCGGTGAGAGGGAAGAGGAGAAATGGAAAAATGGCGCTCAGGAATTTATGTGAGTATGAGAGGCGCAGATAGTATTTATTTTCTGTTGCCAAGATAGTAATTATTATCGTAATTGAAAACAAAGGGAAACTTTGAAGACAAAAGAATGTGATTGCGTGTATCCGATCAGAATAAGCATCCATAATCAATAGCGCTTTTCTTTTTATCTACATCGAGTCTGAGTAAGACGGTCAATGCGAGCAAAAAAAATTGTCAAAAATTAGAAAGATATTTGCAATAGGAACAAAAAAGAAACTTACTTTTCAAATGAATACTCAGATTTGAAATTTCCCACAATAATAGTCGCATCGAGGTAGAGGTCGCTGATGATACATTTCTTTCGAAGGGAAATTTTTATTATAGTATCAATGCAGTTCTCTATATAAATATCTGTCTGTTCCACAGTATGTTTGTTTTACAAGAAAGCATTACAAATCGATGACAAACCAAAAAGCCTCTCTCCCCCCATGAACCCATTAGCAGAAATTGATGTAGTTGACACACATGCTAAGAAGGGGACAACGATTTTGCAATGCATGGACCGGCCGATGTCTTTCCACACAATGAAGGCCTTAATCAGAAGAGAATTCAAGACCTCAAGGTGCAACGAAATTAAAGCTCGAACAAAGGAGAAACAGTGGACAGTGGCAATCCACATGCCTTCTATGTAACCTACAGGAGGAAATGGATAAGACCCACCTGATTCGGTGTCCAGCTCTAAGGACAAGTACGGAAAGCCAGAGATACTGGGAAGCAAGAAGACAGCTAATGAATAGCTATTAATTTAACTGCTATAAATGTACCCCCCCCCCATTCTTGGGGGAAGCTGAAGTCAAAGATTAAGGGCTAATGACTTGGGGGAAGCTGAAGTCAAGGATTAAGGGCTAATGATCCCTTGATTAAGGGCTAATATGATAAATAAATAAATAAATAAATATTTCAGTATCCTCCCCGCCTCCCCCCAAATTATTTCATATTAGAAATCCATATAAATTGAGAGCAGAATAGTATTGGAGACATTGCAAACGCTTCCCTAAATGCTTAGCCAAACAGGAAGGAAAAAGGTTAAAATATTTCCGGTTACCTGGCTTTAAGATAAAGCTAGATTGGATTAGCTGGTGTTTTACTTTAAATTAACCTTATTTAATAACAGAAAGCGAAAATGAATTCAGTTATTCAATATTCTATCAGCTGGAGACGAGCAAATATGCCTTAACGGCTTATATTTTAATCATTTACGTTTAGATGGTAATAATTGGGGTTAAATGCAAATTGGAAATAGAAATAATGTTTAATAAATATGTAACAAGCGCAGTTTTACTAAAAATGCAAAATGATTGAAATAATTTCAGTAGAAAGGAAATCTACCTTATGCTTTTCTTATCATAATATGCATATTTAATCTCAAGTTAAATATGCAAGAAAGGGAAGGATATTTCGAGTTCCTTTTAACTTCACATCCCATTGAAATTCCAATTTGCAGACAAATAGCGATTATTTATCAATCATTTACTAGAACAGCCTCAAATGATATTCTGGTACCATGCGATTTTGAATCTCTGGAAACGAGAAATAATATTCACTCAAGAAGTGATTAATTATTTCCTTACAGGTTTGATGACCATTGTTGGATCAAAAAGGTACTTCACACATTAAGACGGGGTGATAGAGAAGTAAGAAATCAAGTTCTTTTCAGACAGGCTTTATAATGCTTCGCCTCTTGTAACATGCGGGCAGAAAGTAACTCAAGAATGGATCTGAAGGTGCCTTAGTTGTCATGCAAATTTAATCATCCATAAAGCCAATTACTTAAACAATAGGAAGGGTAATTATTATTTTCTATTTCTAAATAATTATGAAGCCTTCTATTTGATAATTTATAGTTGAAGAATGCGGTTAGTGTGGCAAGCAATTTGACTTCCTACCATAAGCAAAAATGAAACATAAACCCGGGTTTCGGACTGCATATGCTGACTGCCATTTTAGAACATGCTTGAAAACCATCTCAAAAATGTCTTCATTGACAGTATTCATAAGCATAGGAAAATCTGGTGAAAATTAAATCTGTAAACATTCAAAATAGAGTTACGTTCATAAAGAGCTTTCTTTTTCTTCTAAATACAAATATTGTTTCATTCAAAGACTCTGCTCGAATTTTTAGTGTGTTCAATTTTCTCCCGTTTTATGACAGAAAGAAGGTTCTAGAATTTTTAAAAATAAAAAAGTAATGGAATAAATTGAGTCCATGGTGAGTTTTCAAATATATATATCCTATCACTAATCTGGGTTAAATTTGCAGAGCTGAAATAAATACTTTTGAACTAATTAAATGCTCTATGCTTTAACTACGATTCTAAATTATTGATCCTTTTATACAATTTTGGACTCTTATGATTTTAACGAATTAGAACTGATCTTAAAAATATACAATTAAAGAAAATCAACAAATAGTTGCAATTTTATGTTTACGAAATCCAACATCCAGTGCAATTTACTTAAACTCGTCATCGTATAAGGGTGGACTTACCTCCACGTAGTTCACCCTGGGCAACGTATACTCATACGGCGAAAAAGTCTATAAACCGGGAGTTGACTTCTCACTTCAAGCTACCATCACCCCACTGTATGTCATATTCCACCACTTCCACAGTACTCATCTCACCTTTTCTCTACCTTTGTGTTTGTCGCTTTTACATTTTTGAAACACTCTTCTGTCCCCCCTCCCTCCTCTCGAATTTTTCCCTTCGATGTTCCTTCCTCTCTATGATGATCGAAGCCAATGATGACTATCAAAACCCCTGCCATTTGATATAAATAAATGTATAATGAAGGACCAATTGATGGATGAACGTTTATTGCAATTAAAGTTCTTAAGTTTATTGCAATTTCGTCTTTTGGCCATTGAATATAAGCCTATTTATTTATATTTTATTGATGATGTTAAATCAATAATTTCAGTAAGGTGTATAATGATGATCGATTTCCTAGCAAGTGAAATAAGACAGCACATCTTTCACAGGACAAAAACGAGAAATCATGGATTTTGTCCCTATAATTTATAATTTTTTTAATAATTTTTATGACTAATTCATTTACCATCATTAGCATATTGGCAGTATATCCTTTATACTATATATATATATATATATAATGTTTATTATATAAAAAACACCTTGACTTTTAGTATAAAAAGGTATGGTTAGCGTATGGGTGTTTTTTCCATTTACGAAAAATTAAAATGTCTCGCCAAAAGCTTGGGACTTGGTCATGGCAACCTGAAATTAAGCCACCATAATGTCATTCCAAATTTGACACCCAAAATAACTTTATGACAGGTTTCCAGTGTGAAAGTTATTAAATAGAAAACAAGAACAAATTCCCATCAAAATGAGATATTAATTGACGCTGAGACTTAGGTGGAATTCTTATTTTCAATAACAGTTTTAAAAGACATAAATGGTGTCAAGAATAACATTGATATAATTCCTATTCAAATATTAAATGAAAAGAAGGCGAAAATACGTTACGATGACTTTTCAAAAATGTACTTTCAATGGGGTTGATATCAGTCAGTCGGTGTGGTTGACTGTTTAAAAAAGTACCTTATGTAAACTGAAGCTAGAAAAACCATGGACTTGGAACTAATCCAAGGGATTTCGGCTGTTTACTAACTTACATTGAAAATATTCCTCCTTATTCATAATATTCAAAAGAGATTTCATGTAAATTATCAAATTCAACATCAATTTTATTGAAATTGATTAAATCATAAGGAGAAATTATTACTTTTCTTATGTAGATAGTATTATTTAAACATTTATGTGAACAGATAAATACTAAAGGGACACCATAGGGAGATCGAATGAAGGACTGTCGGTAAGGAAAAAAGAGCTAGAATGATCTTGAGATATTGATCGAGATAACGGAAAGCGATTGAACGAGTTGATGGAATCTGATTGGTTTGTTTATGTCTATTTCTAAAATGTCGTCGTTGGCCCGGATAAGAAATGGTTTTGTTAATGTTTCCGAAATTAGTGTTTATTTTATCACGGTGTTCGCTTAAAATTTTCTTTTAAAGCAACGGTCTTTGCAACAACTTCCTTTCAAAATGAAGTATGCAATTCGTATTTTTTCTACCCAAATTGAAATTATTTTATTTAGGTCAAAATGTTCCTCTTTCGTAAAATATATATCATAAGAATTTTCATATGTAATGCGTTCAGTTAATTGAAATTCCTGAACATACGTAATAAGTGCAACGAAACAATTATTTGTAAACACCTGTCTTTATACGATACAATAAGAAAGTGTTAAGAGTAGAGCTGATTTATGAAAGAGCAATTGAAGGTGTTTCTCAGATGTCAAGCACCTGTCAATTTTATCGACCTAAAATAGGGTTTTATGTTAACATTGGCAGTTTGACTCACCCATGACTCTATTAAACTTTAACATTTAATTCCGTCTGGAAAGATTCAACGTCGAAGTATTCTCCGCTTATATTATTGCCAAAGCTTGAATGAGTCCCGGTTCAACGATAAGTCCCACGATGGAGTCGATTAATATTCTCAAGACCATGCTGTACAATAGCCCTTTATTCGCTGTAGTATAAAGTTTTTTATTTCGGGAGAAAGTGTGGAAACGGAATCTACGGGGTCTGGAATTCTAATATCGCACTACTTAGATTAACTTCAAAAGCTAGCGAGGGTGATTCTTTGGACAATGACTAGTTATTAGATCATGTTGTCTACAAACATCGAACAGTGAACAGCATCATCTTGAAGATAAACAGATGTCAAGATCTGTAGAATGAGCTATGAAACCCCACACTCTCGTGTTTATTTTTGAAAACAGCAAGAAAAATCTAACCTATATGGGGTTTCCGAACCTTTAGTCTTCAAATATGGAAAAAAAGTTTGAGAACAGAGTTTCCACTATCTAGTAAGCATAATCGCGTAATATCGTGAGAATTAGCAAGGCACTCTTTTACCAGACGTGTCTGAGGAGAGGAAGCTCTAAGAGAGCCCATTTTTAAGACTCAGACGGAAACTTTTCAAAAAATGGAACAAGTTGTTCATTGTGTTGAGCGTTGGTGGTATTAAGGTAAATGAAGAACTTCAGAATGGGGTTGACATATGAAGTGAGTAATATGATATGCTGAAACAACCTTGCTTCAAACGAAAATCTCAATCAATTAGAACGCATTGAAATGTTTGAAAAGAACTTTCGGCACCGTTTTTTAGCATTTCTCCTCAATGGCTCACAGATTCCAGTTCGGTTTTTGGAGTACAGCCTTTATAGTTACCCCTTCTACCCTGTTGAATGGGATGTATTAATAAGTCCATCAAGTAGCTAAGCTACGATGCAGAGTAAACTTCTTTCACTCATAAAAAGTGCGCTACCAACGTAATTTGGTCTAACACGTTTATATGTACTTTTTCCAAACATGTGAACTTTATAAGGTCGAATCGCCCAAGCCCCCTGAATTTATATATTAACCAAATCTCGCAAAAAACCGCATTGAAAGCAATAATTTTATATTTAATTAAGATTGACCATAAATTAAAACCCAGAAAAATCTAAGATTCATAGGAATGCTGAAATCATAGAAAGCAAATTGACAATTTTGAAATTTGAAGAAAAATACCAAAGAAATGCGCATTTTAATAAAAGGAAATGTAAAAAAATATATTTTATTTAAATGAGGAATGAAAATGTGAAAATTCAACAAGGAGAATATTTGTCAAATTCAGTTGAAATAGTTACTGAATTGATTTTTACTAAAATTAAATATTTTAAAGTAAGGTTTGGTTAATTCCAAAGAAAAATGAATAATTTTCAATGTTTAACTGCCGTGAAGCGATTACTTAGTAGTTACTTTGTAAACTATAAACTAATTAAATTAAGGGAATGAAATCTAACCCATGATTGCATCATTATCAAACGCATATTTCGAATCGACGAATGTCTAGGATAGAGACTATATAACTAATAGCCAGAACGATTAGAAGATTAAGTATTGATACAACACATTCCCATATATATATATATATATATATATATATATATTGGGAAGTACGCTCAATTTCTTTACCTTTGATTTTTAATTTGTGGGACACTTCATCAATGACCAATAGAAATCCTGCTACAGAACAATATTCAGAGATATTTAGCTATTAATGTTCATGCGAATTTGCAGATTTATCTGATAACTAATCGCTTAGCCAAATAACTCTTCGCTATCAATATACGTACCGAATAAACGTATTGACAACTCGCTATCAATATACGTAGTGAATAAACGTATTCCGTGCTACACGTCTGTTTCCCTCGTAGCTGGGCTTTAGCTTAGCTTGTTCTGGGAGTCTGGCTAGATGTTGGAGA